CCTCTTGTGCCAGGTGTTCACAACGCACGCTACATGTTCAGCACTCCACGCATGCTTAGCTTCAGGCTATCAATTGAACTGTGAAAGGACCTTCTTGTGACCAGCAGTTTCATGCATAAAGTCGCTGGTCGCAGTATCAGATAGACAAGGGACAGCGGGTAGCCTATTTGTGCCTTTCCGGGAGAGTGCTGGGCCCATGGCACTGGCATACGGTATTCGGTTCTTAAGTTACGGGAGCAGGTGGTCAAACCATTGGCGATGCTGCATGCTCTGGCCTTGCGGATGTGAAGCTGATCGGAAGGGGCCTGCCAGCCAGGTTGATACTGAAAGCAGTAGCCACCATGCAGCGGCGTCCATCTGATTACCAAGCTTTTAAGACTCCATATCATTGCACGTCCCATGGTTCTACACCGGACTGTAATCCAGGTAACGGCATCACTCATTACAAGGCTCCAGTCCGACTTCGTACCTTCTTCCTTCGGCTTCAGGGTGGCGTGTGCATGTGTGTGTGCGTGTGTGCATGTGTGCGTGTGTGCGTGTGTGTGTGTGTGTGCGTGCGTGTGTGTGTGCGTGTGTGTGTGTGTGTGTGCGTGTGTGTGTGTGCGTGTGTGTGTGTGTGCGTGTGTGTGTGTGTGTGTGTGTGTGCGTGTGTATGTGTGTGTGTGTGTTGTTGTTGTTATTGTTGTTACATGGTCGTGGGTGCGTTCCCCGTACCTGCAAACCACCCTAAAACGAGCCGAGGGCTCAAGGGCTGCCAGATCGCCTATAAGCACCATCCTACCTCGCACTTCCAACGAAACAAGTGATGAAGGATACTCACGACCAAAGGGAATGATAGAGTTGCGGTGGGACCATATACGTTCCAGCATCCTTGCCAGGCGTTCAGGTTCCCACCTCATAGCGTCTTTTGTGTGCTCGAAGCGTGGGAAACCCATATCAGATCTGATTTTGTCGTACACCAGACAGTCCAGCAAAATGTGCTTCTCATCCTCGATATGGCTATCAGTGCCGCAGCAAGGGCATACTCGCTCCTCCCTAGGGATATAACGCCGTCCCTTACGCGCTCTGTTAGCCGCCAATGCCCAACAGTAAAGCCTAAACTGCATAAGCTTGTGATTCGCTGAGCGCAGGACAAACATTGTGATATGCGGGAGCACCTCCTTCCTGCCCGCTTGTTCGGCCGCCAGGCCCATCCAATTCTTATACTTCGCCATGTGAATTCCTGGTTGCTTGCCGTCTGACAGGTACACGTCTGGCTGGACATGTGTGTGTGCATGTGTGTGCGTGTGTGTGTATGTGTGTGTGTATGTGTGTGTGTGTGTGTGTGCGTGTGTGTGTGCGCATGTGTGTGCGTGTGTGTGTGCGTGTGTGTGTGTGTGCGTGTGTGTGTGCATGTGTGTGCGTGTGTGTGTATGTGTGTGCATGACAAAAAAAGAAAGAGAGTGAGTGTGTGTTTGTGTTTGTGTGTCTTGGTGTTTGTGAGTTTGTGTTATGCATATCGACACTTTTTTACGTGGTGCTGATGCTGTGCTATCGGAAACAGGACATATAAGCCCGATCCGAGCGCCACAATAAGCCTTATTGGTGCATTGGGGTACCTTCCAGCGGCAACATAGTTCCTGGCTGTGAGGAAGGTACCGAGCCTGGTTCGTGGAGGCCGAGGCTGCTCTAGGCTAGAGGGATTGGCGATGACCTATGCCGCATGCCAGTGATGATGTCGTCGAGGAGTGACCTACCAACGTGGTTTGCTGAAGTTTAACTCTTGCACTGTACGACAACTGAGGCCATCAACCTGCGATGAAGCGCCTGAGCTCACTTTGCTAACACAGGAAAGCCATGATAACCCTTGGCTTTCTATGCACGACAGAGCGTGGTCATATGCACCTCGAATCATCCCTCTGAATGATGACATGTTCCTTTAGCTCATGTCTCGCGCGTGTTCCCCATGGGTGCCTGTTGTGTGGCCGCCTTTGCAGTACGTGCCCACCAAATTGGCTGTATGTGCTCCAGCCCCAAGAAGCGGTGAAACAAGCACTGGAACCGACACCTTCCTTACTTCATGAACACCCGAAATGTTACAGGAGCTTGCTTGGCGCAACGCACCCAGCACGTGCATGCGCCTTGTATGAAGCTCTTGACATCTCACGTCTCACCGCCCACTACCCCACCCAAAAGTAAGAGCTCCACCTCAACACCCGTGCTGTGGGAAACTCCTGCTGGGAAACACCCACAACAAAACTTCAGGCCCGTAACAGGACCGCTTCCGCCACTGCTCACCACTCACCACGGCACCATGCAGAAACTCATCGCAGGAACATGACATAAAAACTACAGGTGGCCACAGTGTGACAACGAGGTTCGATGGACATAACTGACAAGCTCCCACGCATCACTCAACAGTTTTGGCAAGTTGCGCATCCAAGCGTATTTACCCAACAGCGACGGATAGGCAACTACTGCCTGCAATTGCTATGCATGTGGTTGGCAGCGCGTGCCGCTGGTTGGTGCGGAACGTGAAAGAAGAAGTCAGAAGCATCATCTAAGTTCTCGCCGGCAGAAACATCGTCAGTGTTCTCACCGGCAGCCAGGACCTTTAGCTGAGACTCATGAAACCCCAAACTCGACCAGGGTACATTTGCTCCAGAGCCATGTTGCGCACATAAAGGCACAGGTAAACATGCCCAGGCCAGCCAAGTGACTGCGACCCAGAGTACAGGTGCAAGCTGCCCTCTATCTCTACCCCTGCAATCCCCAGGTTCCAGCACCACCACCACCTCAGCTATCCTGCGACGCATCCACCTGCGTTCCGGCAGCCTGCGCATGGAGAAGCGAGGGAGGGAAGAGGCAGGCAGGTGAGGACATGAAGGGGGTCACACATATCTATGCAGGGGAGCACGGCCATCACTCAAGCGAGCCACCAAGGAATAATCACGGCTGTGTGAATCCCCTCCAGCAGGCTTCACCCTACCTACCAACAACCTCAGAACTCCTCCACCAGCCCTCTCGCTCACCTCCGGCCCAAGCCCAGCCCAAGCCCAAGCCCCATGCACCACTGCTGCCAACTGACGCACCCTGCACTGCCCAATCGCCCCTCTATGTTCCTCACCGGCAGCATGCCCCCCGCAGATGCAGGGGCCAGATCAAGTTGCTGCTTGGGGTGCTTCAGCTGCGACACGCGGGGCCGGCCAGGCTGCACCTTCAGGCGCTTAACACAAGAGTGAACCGCTGCAACCACGCCCAGGCCAACACTGGCCACAAGCCCGACACCACGCACACCGTGGTATGCTGTCGCCAGGGCGACATTGTTGCGTTCAAGAAATGTCTTCGTGCATTGCTTTATTTCATCCACGATGCCGACGCCACGATCGACCACCAGCGCCAGCACCATGAGCGGAATGCCAACCCAGGCCAGGTGCAGCCCGCCTGTTGAACATGCACAACAGGGAAAACAAAGAAAGCACACATGATGCAACAGGCATCATACCAAGCTATAGGTGACAGGTGCAGAGGGGCGGGCGACGAACATGCTGCCACTGCAGAGGCAGAGGAGCGGCAGGGAGGGTTAGCGTGCCACAATCCACAATGCACTACACCATAAACTACACTTCATCCTGGCCTGATATGAGTTGGCACTGAACACCGCATTTTCCCAACCCAGCACGCACGCTTGGACCCATCTACTAGTCCAGTCCCGTTTCCCAACACCCCACCATCAAAGCCCACACAAGCTCACCCTGCTGGTCGCACGGGCGGTCCACGTCTGGCACCACAACGGTGCTCACGCCTGCGGAGTCACGGACAAGGTGTGTGTGAGTATGTATGCAACGAAATCCAGGAAAGCAAGGCTACACGTTGTCTTGAGAAAGGTTTTGCGGGATGGACCTCGTTTAGCCTGGACGGTGGCCCTGCGCCCCACTGTAGTGGCACAGGTCTGACACCCCACACGCACCCTGCAGTCCCCACCAACAGCCCACCCGCCCAAATACATGATGGCCCCACTGTGCTGCCAGTTACCAACAAACCGCGTGCCGATTTCCACCCTACAGCCTCGTGGAAATGCTCACCAGCAGCAGCCGGCAGCGAGCCTGCAAGGGGAGGGTAGCACAACGGATTCCTGCTTCAAGGTCGCGAGCAAAGAACCCCAACACGCTTTGAGGATATTCATCGGTCAGACAGGCAACCGGTCGCCATTGGGACCCGTGCAGCTGTGCCCACAGCGGCAGAGGTAAATCCGCGAGATCGCCAGCCCACTTCACCGCGCTCTTCGCGTCGCGTACGTACTGATCCGCCGCGGGATGTTAGAGCTGCTGCTTTTGCTCAGGCCAAGCCGCCGATGAGAAATCCCTCACCTCGGGCCTCCGCACGGACGAATCCATAGATGGTCTCATTGTCTTGGCCCTCGATAGGCCACGTAGCGAGTTCCTCATTTGGCACCTTGCGCAGAAAAGACAGCAGCTCGCCTTTGTCAACGCCACGCGCAACTGCATTCACGGCCTCGAAGGCTCGTTTTCTACAGTCCATGACAATGAGTTGTTTGGATGAGGCTCCCTGGAAGGGTAGGAACCTAGTAGGGGAGGCCCACTCAAGTGCACTAGGAGAAACTGAAGGGTAATGTTGCTTTTCCTTGATGGATTTTTAAGCAGCCCCTCGCAGAAATGTGTCCGGTCGTACTGTGCCCAAAAACAGTTCGTACATCGTCCCAAAAGAATTTTCTTTCAAATTTTGCCGTGCGGATGCGCGCGTGCGATTCGCAAAATGCGCCTGTACAAGTGTATATAAATTTTCTTGGCGGAAAAGGACCAGGTGCGCCAGCGCGTTGCGCAGGTGGGCATGTTGGCCATAGCCGCACGCGGCATGCAGGCTGGACTATTGCGTGGATGCTTTGCAGTAACTCAAAGCACCGAAAGCCAACGTCGTAGCTTGCAACTCTGGGCTCGTGAAACTGCCGCGGAAGATGAAGCGCTGGCGACGAGGCAGTTGTATGCAGCACCTTGTTCAGAGTAAAGTCAAATTACAAAGTTGCGCAAAGTATAACATACATAAACTTAATTAAACAGAAGAACAGATAAGACGTTTAGAGCCTTGTCGGTGACATGGACGCCGCTGTTGGCTTGGAACAGCTATTTGCTGTGCATAGGGACGTGCCCGCGTTAGCCGTGTTGCAACAGCTCAGGATGGATTTCAGCCAGAAACAGCCTCAAGAGCTGCTGCACAACCACCGGGAATGTCTTCAGTTGGGCACGTGTAGTTTTGGTCGGCGGGGTCGAGCAACGTACGCAATGCGCACAGAAACCAAGGTGCAGCGTTCTGTAACATCGCCCACATATTCCCCGCCGGCGGACGGTCCCCTGTGTCCGCAACGCCGTACATCCTGACCGTTCCAGCGGACGGCTAGCGGACGGTCATGGAAACGATGGTCCAAAGCTCCAAAACATCTGTATGTAGATGATTCATGAGACGCTAATAATTAATGCTCCAGCTTGCACTCCTTGGCAAGCAATTAACGCGCAAAACACTCGCCAGGAGAAACTAACCCCAAAATTGTGACGCACATAGTCAAAAGGCTTCTAGCATAAAAGGAGAAAGCAATCGAAAGAAAAAAGACAACATCCCAAGGCGCGCGCGCGGCATTCTAATGACCTGTTTATGTAACCTGCTTAAATAACACCAACGCACTGGAACAATTGAATCATGCAATAAGGTCATTGCAATGGCCACAAGCACTGGGCATTAGTGAAAGGGATTCAGCAAAAACTGACCGTCACGCCCAACACGTCGTTCCATCCCTTTGTCGGCTCTGAATGGCACAATGAATGCTCTACTGGGTAAATGATCATTTGGCGGTGGAAAGAGGCCATTGTATGGCATCCGAGCTGGCGCACAGCTTGCGCATGTCCCCAAGACCCAACACGGCACCACGCCCCGCACCCGGTTATGCCCTTGTCCTGCATTCCGCCTGCCAGCCTGTCTGTGCAACACAGCGCATGGCGGACAGGCCAACCAAGCCATACCAAGGTTTCAGTGAAGACTGGGGTCCCAAGCTCTCAGAATCCCAGACTGCCAGGCTCCCAGGCACATAGGCTGCCATGCACAAAGTCTCTTAGAATCCCAGGCTGCCAGGTTGCCAGGCTGCCAGGTTCCCAGGCTCCCAGGCACACAGGCTCCCAGGCATACAGGCTCTTAGAATCCCAGGCTGCCAGGTTGCCAGGTTCCCAGGCACACAGGCACACAGGCTCTTAACATCCCAGGCTGCCAGGTTCCCAGGCTGCCAGGCACACAGGCTCAGGCTGCCAGCCCCCCAGGCTGCCAGGTTCCAGGCTCCCAGGTTCCCAGGCTGCCAGGTCCCCAGGCTGCCAGCCCCCCAGGCTGCCAGGTCCCCAGGCTGCCAGGTTCCCAGGCTGCCAGGTTCCCAGGCTGCCAGGTTCCCAGGCTGCCAGGCACACAGGCACAAAGGCTCTTAGAATCCCAGGCTGCAAGGTTCCCAGGTTCCCAGGCTCCCAGGCACACAGGCACAAAGGCTCTTAGAATCCCAGGCTGCAAGGTTCCCAGGTTCCCAGGCTCCCAGGCACACAGGCACAAAGGCTCTTAGAATCCCAGGCTGCAAGGTTCCCAGGTTCCCAGGCTCCCAGGCACACAGGCTCCCAGGCTCTAAGCATCCCAGGCTGCTCAGAATCCCCAGGCTCCCAGCCTCCCAGGCTCCAGGTCCCCAGGCTGCCAGCCCCCCAGGCTGCCAGGTCCCCAGGCTGCCAGGTCCCCAGGCTGCCAGCCCCCCAGGCTGCCAGGTCCCCAGGCTGCCAGGTCCCCAGGCTGCCAGGTCCCCAGGCTGCCAGGTCCCCAGGCTGCCAGGTCCCCAGGCTGCCAGGTCCCCAGGCTGCCAGGTCCCCAGGCTGCCAGGTCCCCAGGCTGCCAGGTCCCCAGGCTGCCAGCCCCCCAGGCTGCCAGCCCCCCAGGCTGCCAGGTCCCCAGGCTGCCAGGTTCCCAGGCTGCCAGGTCCCCAGGCTGCCAGCCCCCCAGGCTGCCAGGTCCCCAGGCTGCCAGGTCCCCAAGCTCCCAGGTCCCCAAGCTCCCACGCTCCCAGGTTCCCAGGCTCGAAGAATCCCAGGCTCCCAGGTTCCCTAGCTCCCACGCTCCCAGTCTCCCAGATTCCCAGGCTCTCAGAATCCCAGGCTCCCAAGTAAACATGCGATCAGAAACCCATGCTTACAGAATCCCAGGCGCCCACGCTCCCACGTTCCCAGACTCCCAGGCACACAGGCTTTTAGAATCCTAGGCTTCCAGGCACACAGGCTCTCAGATACACAGGGTCCCATGCACACAGGTCGCCCATGGCTGCTGTCCAATCCTGGCCCCAAACCGCCAGATAAATATGCTCCTACATCTAATTGACTTAGCCGAATGCTAGTTTTAGCTTTGTTTACATTTCATGCATTTGCTGGCGCCTAGCGCTTGCATCGATGTAGCCCCCAGTATAGCACATTGCATTACATTATCCATGAAAAGATTATAAAACTTTAATTCACTATAAGCTCAGCAAATTGCAAGGGTAAAGGGCTCATCTGGACGCAGTTTGCATGCCGTGCTGCCGGCTTGCGCAAGGAATCTCTGCGCGCGCTCCACGCCCGCGCGCGCCGCGAGCACCAGGATAAACTACAACAAAATGTCTTTTGCTTCGTGCAAAAATACGTTGGTATGTGTTGGTATGTGTGCCCGGAAAGCTGTGCCGGACGGTCGACCGTCCGGCAGACCGTCCGCCATGGACGGTTCCACCGTCCGCCAGGGGGGGTATATGAACCACATATCCGGTACGCGGTGGCAGGCTTGCCGAGCACGAAATGAAGGGGGGGTCGCATCTCACCATTCAACTAAGCATGCATGTGCTCGGTTGAATGCTCGGTAGCGTGCGAGTTTACCCCTATCAGGATGTTTGTTTGCATATCCCCCCAAGCGAGAGGGCTTGCACCTATGCTGATGTTCGTTCCAAGAAGTGAACTGAGGACTGATGCTACGGTGAAAGATTTGCACGTAAATTCGCCCGTGCAATAAAACGCCCTGTAACTCGCTTACGCTAATCTCACATTCCAATATGCCACTGCACTTTCCTCTCCAGCCTGGCCACATTCTCTTCCTCGCAAACGTACTTGGGCACCTTACAATCCAACACCATACGTGCTTTGAAAACGCGGGCAGCTGCTTCACAAGGACCCCCCTATGATTTATGGCGGTTGAGAGTGGTCCTCACAAGCTCTTGTTAAGCAGCCCCTCGCACAAATGTGTCCGGTCGTACTGTGCCCAAAAACAGTTCGTACATCGTCCCAAAAGAATTTTCTTTCGAATTTTGCCGTGCGGATGCGCGCGTGCGATTCGCAAAATGCGCCTGTACAAGTGTATATAAATATTCTTGGCGGAAAAGGACCAGAACAGATAAGACGTTTAGAGCCTTGTCGGTGACATGGACGCCGCTGTTGGCTTGGAACAGCTATTTGCTGTGCATAGGGACGTGCCCGCGTTAGCCGTGTTGCAACAGCTCAGGATGGATTTCAGCCAGCAACAGCCTCAAGAGCTGCTGCACAACCACCGGGAACGTCTTCAGTTGGGCACGTGTAGTTTTGGTCGGCGGGGTCGAGCAACGTACGCAATGCGCACAGAAACCAAGGTGCAGCGTTCTGTAACATCGCCAACATATCCGGTACGCGGTGGCAGGCTTGCCGAGCACGAAATGAAGGGGGGGTCGCATCTCACCATTCAACTAAGCATGCATGTGCTCGGTTGAATGCTCGGTAGCGTGCGAGTTTACCCCTATCAGGATGTTTGTTTGCATATCCCCCCAAGCGAGAGGGCTTGCACCTATGCTGATGTTCGTTCCAAGAAGTGAACTGAGGACTGATGCTACGGTGAAAGATTTGCACGTAAATTCGCCCGTGCAATAAAACGCCCTGTAACTCGCTTACGCTAATCTCACATTCCAATATGCCACTGCACTTTCCTCTCCAGCCTGGCCACATTCTCTTCCTCGCAAACGTACTTGGGCACCTTACAATCCAACACCATACGTGCTTTGAAAACGCGGGCAGCTGCGTCACAAGGACCCCCCTATTTAAGCAGCCTCTCGCACAAATGTGTCCGGTCGTACTGTGCCCAAAAACAGTTCGTACATCGTCCCAAAAAAGCCAGGAGCGAATTTTGCCGTGCGGATGCGCGCGTTCAATTCTCAAAATGCGCCTGTAAAAGTGTATGTAATTTTTTCGGCGTTAGGCCGCTCGTCAGGGCATGTTGGCCGCAGTCACAAGCGGTATGCATCTCGGACTTTTGGCTGGCTGCTTAGCCTGAGCTGAATAAGATATGAAAAGATATGAAAGCATACAACGTAGCTTGCAAGACTGGGCGCTTGAAACGGCTGCGGGAAGAGGAAGCGTTCAGGACATCAGACAGCAGGAAGCACAACACCTGCTGGTAAACCACCGAGAATATCTTCAGTTGGGGACGTGTAGCTTTAGCCGGCGGGGTCGACCATCATACGCTTT